GACATCACAGCCCAAGCTTTTAAAAACACCATTCTTGCCCTGGCTGGTGTGGCTCAGTGGACCAACTGCAAAGCAAGGGGTCACTGGTTCGATTCCCAATCTGGGGTGTGTGTGCCTGGGTTCCTGGTGGGGGCGGGGGGGGTGGGGCACGTGAAAGGTGGCCACACTTTGATGTTTCTCTCCCTGTCTTTCTTTCTCCCTCCCTTCCCCTCTCTCTAATAGATAATAAAATCTTTAAAAATAAAAACACCACTCTTTCCACACCTGAGACCACTGTGGTTCAGATCCTGAACTCACCTCACTGAAGACCTCGTCCTGCGTCAGTCCACACCCAGGCTCCGCCCAGCCTTTTCCAGAGCCACAGGGCTGCAGGCTGCTGCAAACAGCCTTCCAAGCCTTCGGGCCTCGAGGAAGTGTCCCTGGAAACCGCCCTCACAAGCAGCACGCAGACCGACTAGGAACCCTTCGCAAATACACAGTCATAACACTGTCTCATGTCCTTGTGTCTCTCTTCCCCACAAATATATGAGCTTTGGCCCCCCGGGCAGGGGCCCAATCTCACTCATGTCTGTATCTCTAGTATCCAGAACTAAAAAGCATTTGAGTGTTTTGTAATTCAAACCAATTACACATACCATCAAAATGCCTGGATCCTTTGCTTTAAATACATCTCACACACACAACCCAAATCATCAAGTTTTTTATTCTTTACTTTTTTAAAGAGAGAGGGGAAGGGAAGGAGAAAAAGAGGGAGAGACACATCAACATGAGAGAGAAGTACCGGTCAGTTGCCTCTTGTACGCGCCCCGACCGGGGACCAAACCTGCCACCCAGGCACGTGCCCTGACCAGGAATAGAACCAGTGACCCTTCACCTTGTGGGTACAATGGCCAACCACTGAGCCACACTGGTCGGGACATATAATAAAGTTTTAATTAATGTTAACCCTACCCAAACAAATGGGTCTTATTCCAAACAGGATCTGAAAGGATCCTGTAACTCATAACCCAAGCTTTTATTAACTTTAATATTGAAGTCTTCAGAATTTTCTAAAACCACCCTGAGATGAAGCTTCCTAATCTTTAAACTCCTTTCAGTCTAGCACAGTTTATCAAGGGTATTAAATATTATCACATCATTTTGGACCACCAAAGCCCCATCCCACACTAACTCCCTCTTGCCACCAATTCATTTATTAGTTCATTAGTTTTATTAAGTATCCCCTCAGTACTACAGATACAAAAAGGAAGACAAGGAAATAAAAGTTTTAGTGGGGAAAAAAAGACACACACACAAAAAGAATAACAGTAGGGTATGAGATGCTTGCTTATCTCAAATCATCCTGGTCTTTCTTGAATTGTATTATAGTTTGGTCAGTACTAGGAAGGTTCTCAAAAGATAACGAACGCAGCTGTAACAAATGTTTATCAAAAAGAATGACTTAACAGCAACTATTCTAAAATAAAAATCAAGCTATTGGCAACTATTTTCCAAAATGTAGCAGGATACACAGTGTAACAGTCAACAGCTCTCCACAGCAGGCCAACTCTGAGGGATACTTAAGGCTGCATTCAACAATTAATTCATCTGAAGTGCCCATCAGGAAGTTCTATCCCTCGATGTTGAGAATTTTTATGGCCACAGTATGCAACTGCTGGTAACAGCTGTACAACAACTCCTGGCTACAGTCATGACATCCCCTGGATCTATAACCCATCCTTAGGGCCATAAATGACCATTTTGTTTTCTATTTTTAGGGCAGTCCCAAAACTATTTTCTGAAACCAATCTTGGTCTTGCCCACAGCACCTCTTAAGAGATGTATGCTGGCTGTCCGTCCATTCAGGCCAAAATCCTGACTTGATCAGGATGTGACTTCAATCAGACAGGCGGTCAGAATACACAACCTCACGATTCTTGACGGAGAATATAAACTTAAGCTCACTGCTGCCCAATGGTTACCAAAATTGGGTGACGAGGAGTAATAATATTCACGAAGAAGGACTCATTCACTCAGTCGTTCAGTCCACAGCCTCCTAAAGGCCGGGCACTATTCTAGGTGCTGGGGGTAAGCAAGTGGCCCTGTGGCTCAAACATTCCTCTTCGTCTCTGAGCTGGGCCCAGCCATCGGGGAGCTGTGTACCTAAGCCACATTGCTTTGGCTCTTTGAGGATGTCCTGTTCCCTGGCATTACCTGAGTCTGGAAGGAGAAGCATTGTAAGAAGCAATCTGAAAAAACTCACTACTGTGCTTATCATTGGGATTTTCTCTCCCACAAAACTAGTGTTCCCACTCTGGAGACCAGCAGGAGAGATGTCCCTCAGACCTAACCGTCAAAACAAGCCACGCTTCTCCTGAACGACCTGTGTTAGACATTACAGGCACCGTGACTCTGGAAGCTGAGCTTTGTGTTCTTCTTTGCTTTACTCTAGGATACCCAGAGCCAAATACGGAGCCCACCTTCAGGAACTGTGCAGTACTTTCTAGTCTGTACACTAACTTTTCCACTGGTTTAATTTCATTATCCTTCCCCCATTTCTTCTTTGCCTTAATATCTGTATGATCAATCCTTTGGACAATATATATGTTAAAAAGAGGTGGAAAATAAAAGGCATTTGACGGGTGCTTTTTAGTCTAAAATGTATTACGTATTTTCTATACGCCCGGCACTGTAGTAGGCATTTGACAACTCAGTAAGGGGTGAACTATTATTATTTCTATTACACAGGTGGGGAAACTAGGGCTCAGGGAGGTTTATTAACTTGCATATAATTTCACAACTTGCCTCTGAGAGGGCTAAAATTCAAATTCAACCCGAACCATTACATCTAGGTGTCCGTAAAGGCTATCATGGGAACAAATAAGGCAGAGCAGAGGAAAGAGAAGGAGAGAATGGGGGGAATCAGCACAGAGGATGTGACATTTGAGCTAAGTCTTAAAGGAGGGAGCTTGCCAAGGAACGAGGAGGAAGTATTCCAGGAAAAAAAAAAAAAAGAAAGAAAAAGAAAAAGTGTGAAAAAACCCAGAGCAAAGAGAGAACATAAGTTCTGGGAATGGCAAACAGAACACTGAGTTACATTCAGCAATGAATTCATCATGAAGGATTCACCAGAAAGTTAAGTCATTTCACACCAGACATTTAATAGATCTGTTATTGAGAACTTCCATGGCTATCACACCAAACTGTGGCTCGAAAGATAGGGAGGAGTGAAATAAAGGCAGGCTCTTTTTTATGATTAGGCTAAAAGTCTGAATTATGTTCAATAAGCAATGGGAAAACAGAAAAATCTTAAGCATGAGAATGACAAGATCAACTTGCACAGTATGGTGAATAAATTACAGAATTGAGGTTGGGACACCAGTCAGGCCACTACAAGAGTCTGGCAGTGGCGTAATGAGAGTTAAATGAGGGCTGTCAAACACAAATACAATTCAAGCCATAGATGTAAATGTTCATTTTCCAGTAGCTATTTAGAAGAAGTGAAAATAATTTTAATACTTTTATTTAATCCAATATACCTAAAATATTATACCAGCATGGAATCAATATGAAAATTAGTAATGAGCCCTGGCTGGTGTGGCTCAGTGGACTGAGCACAGGCTGCGAACCAAGGGGTAGCCGGTTCGATTCCCAGTCAGGGCACATGCCTGGGTTGCAGGCCAGGTCCCCAGAACAGGGTGCGTGAGAGGCAACCACACATTGATGTTAAGAAAAAAGAAAAAAAATAGTAATGAGAAATTTTACATTCATTTTTTTGTACTAACCTGAAATCTGGTGTGTATTTTATACTTAGAGCACCCCTCATTTTGGACAATGAGTTTCCACTGGAGATATTTGATCTGTACTTAAATTTCATAAATTTTACAGATGAAAAAGTAGATTCACATACCCAAGTTGGTCCGAACACACGGAACCATTTTTCAATAACACGTCGTATTGGTGTTTGAATTTAAATGATGATTAATGACAGTACAATCTCAGTTCTTGAGTCATGCTAGCCACATTTTGAGTGCCCAACAGCCAGATATGGCCACCACATGAAACAGTCCAGGCCTGACGAGAGACAAAGGGGCTTTGGCTGTTGGCCTCTCCACAATCAGCATTTTCACATCTACCTGCTACGGAGGTTTTCTGTGTACGAACATCAATAACTTACCAAGTACTGACTACGGCAGTAGTCCTGGTCACATCCTCGCTATTACAGCTTACTTTCTCTAGGCCAGAGCCTACATCTGTGAAAAAGGAAATCTTCTAATGACGACACAGAATTGCTATATGGTACCTGAGATGCTGAATGCACTCAAAAATGCTTGTGGAGTGGACATAGGCTCTTTTTTTCCTCCAGAAATAACTCACTTGTTTGCAGATGACATAAGCCCCTTTTTCTATTTCCCTATGATTCAAATGTTTACTAGACTCTATGTACAATGAAAAAAAGAAAAAGCAATCAGAAAACCTATTTTCAATTGGCTATTTATTAGAAGCACTATAGTCTAGTGGATAAGAGCTTAAGGTCTGGAGTCAGACCACCTAGATTCAAATCCTGGTTCTGTCATTTACGGGATATGCAACCCTGAGTAAATACTTGACCTCTCTGTTCCTCAGTTCCCTCCTCTGCAAAACAGTGAAAACGCTACATACTTCCTTAGGGTGCTTCATGGATTCCAAAAAAATAACACATACAAAGCACTTGCGCACAGTATGTGGCACAGAGTAGATGGTCAATAAACATTCGCTTTTAAACAGAGCTGGGGGAGAAGCTGAAATTATGGCTAAAGTCAAAAACTAGGATTTCTCCATTTTCCACATCTCTCCCATATAATCTTAGATTATCCCCTCCCCCTCATCAAAAAAGAAGTCCTGCAGATAGTTACATTCTTTAGGAAACGGGGTAAGTAAAAGGCTTCACCGACGGACAGGGTGTAATTATACATTACGGCACAGGTGTAGCCAAGCAAATGGAGAAACACGAATCAAAATAGGAAGGCATTTTGCCTTACCTGCTTTTCCGTTTTCGAGGTGGTTTCTCCACTGTGCCAGTCAGTCTGTAGACCAAGCAGAGAAGATGGTAACTAAAAGTGACATACAAGAACACGTCCCCGGGGCCCTACTCTGCCAGTCAATAACTCAACGTACCACCCTCTAGGACTATAGGCTCGCTAAACCCATACCCGACCTTCCAGATGCCTAGACTGTTTCCCCTGTCTGCCAACACCAAGCAATGCTGGGTCCCACTGTTCCCCTGATGTCTGCTCAGTCCAAACCTTGCTCTACCTCCAAATCTCCCATTCCATCCTTGGCTCTAATTCGTCACAGCCCAGCTCCCCAAAACCACCCACCGCCACCTACTCATTGTCTGCCTCGTCACCCCCGTACGTCCCTCCGGCCTCCCCTTTCCCGTGCCCACCCCCTGGCGAGCTTGCACTGCCCCTCCGCGCCCCGCCCCTCCGGGCTCCGCGCCCCCCGCATTCCACGGCCCCTCCAAGAGGAGCGCGCGCCCTGCCCCTCCTGGCCCAGTGCCCCCAGCCTCACCCCTTGGCGCCCCCTCCCGCCCATGCCCCTCCTGCCTCGAGGATGCGATCGTCGCCCATCCCGCCCCGCCGCCCTAGGCAGCCCCCGAATCCTTCCAACCTAAACCCCCCTTCCAGCCTCTGCGCCCCGAATGCTTCACGGCCCCAAGCCGCTATCCCTCGGCCCGCTCCCGCGCCCCATCCCCAACCCAGTCCCCGCCCCACCTGGGGGCCAGGCGACTCCGCGGCTGCTGGGGCTGCCGGGCTCCTCTGACCATCCGGCTCCTGCTCCGCCGCGGGAGCTGCTCCGGCGGCCGCAGGACTCGCTCGGGAAGCTGAGGCGGCGGAGGATGGAGTAGGCGGAGAGGCGGGAGGAGGGCCTCGCGCCTCTGCCAGGCTTGCCGTGGGGCCCGCCTCCCCCGCTCCTCTCCTCAGCTCCTATTGGTTATAGCTGTACGGTACCCGAAAGCCTGGTGGCCCATTGGACGCTCCGGCCGTCACATCCCGCCACCTAGAGTTTGGTTGAGACTGCAGGTGGCGGCAGAGGTGCCTTAGAGACGGCTGGCAGGGCCAGGGAGACCTGAGCGCCACCGTGCGTCAGAAAGTAGAAACTGCACCTTTGGCGCCAGACACCTGCAGGCAGGTTCAGCTCGCTAGGCGTCCTGCATCCCACACACCTGCTGGCGCCCCCATACACTGCACCACGCCAGGACTAAAAGCCAATCACCGGAACTACCCAAACTCCTCTGGCAGATGCGACAGTGAGGCAACTCTCCAAAATAAGCTTCATTTTGAACCACTTCCTTGTATGCGGCTCATCTCGACATCAGCGATTTTCAACTGGTGTGCTGCAAGAATTTTGAGAACATGCAATACCTGACTATTTAGTCAGGGGCATTGACCTTTCTTCTCCTAAATTGTCAAATTAAAAAATGACAACAGCAGTCCAGTGTGAATGAATCAAAATTATACCTATCTTTTGTCACATCGGCAAAAAATTTTTTGGTGTGCCGCGGAATACTAGTGTGTGTGCCATGAGAGGACAAAAGTTGGAAATCGCTACTCTACATCATGCTGAGGAATAAAATGCTCTCACAGTTCCCAGGTACCCTTCACAGAGAATCCAGCCAGAAAACTCTTTAAGAGTCTACCCAAATTGTGGTTTCGATGCTCAGTCCTCTTCAGAAAAGATCACAAGCTTGGATGCAGGTTTCCAAGAAAGCAAGAGATTTTCTTTAATTGCCATGTACGAACAACACTGCAAACAACTGATGCCATAACTAAGAGCAGTGTTCCATTTTCGAAGACCTGAATAGACTGATCCCTGAGTATATGCTAATTGTCCTGTGACACTACAGATCATTTTAAGTTCTATGCCAGTTAATCAATAAATTTCACTGTATTTTTATTGTTGACAGACAACCAGCACACAAGCACAATGTTAAGGCCATCCTTCAAAAGTAAACCGTGGCTCATTACCGTGTTATAGAACCCTCCCTTGAAGGTAGTATCCCTTTCAGCCTCTCTATATTCCTTGTGTACTTTTTGTTTGGTAGATCCTCGGCATCCACAAAAAAAAGCTGGGAGGAGGCATAAAACTTTCTTTTAAACTACTTCCACTAGAACATTTTTATGCATTAAAAATGAGACAGCTTAGAACAGTATACACCAATAGGTTAAGGACAAGTCTCTCACTGATTTTCAAATGTCAAAAATGAGGATACTAGTTTTCCACAAAACCAAATTTATGGCTGCCTTTATGCAGAAATGGCCCTTTTTACGTGTGATGTTAAAAAAGACCTTCCTTCTATAAAATACTAATGGTGGTATACTGTAGAGAAAAATTTTTTAATGGCTATGAGCTGCCCTGGCTGGCTAAGCTTAGTTGGTTAGAGTGTTGTTCTGATCCATCAAGGTTGAGGTCAACCAGTAAATGCATACATAAGTGTAACAACAAATAGATGTTTCTCTCTCTCCCCCTTCCACTTTCTAAAATCAGTAACTTAAAAAATTTCAAAATAAATGGCTATGAGCTGACAAGGAAAAAACATCAAACATCTGTTGGTCCCCTACATTAGTATTTTATGTAATCCTAAAATCACAGAACCACCACCACACCAGTCCCAACCGACGGTATCCACCTGTAGTATCACCATGCCAGGAAGGGTGAACCACCCCAGAATAACGCCAGACAAGACTGGAGAAGGTGGGGTCGAAGTTCTGGTGGAGAGGATTATCAACCCACTAGCAAACTAATCTTAAAATATCGCTCACTACTTCTTAAAATATGGATTAAAATCTTCTGCCTGGTTTTTCAAAATTGGCCAATGCCTCTCTGATACATGGAAGATATTAACAGAGCTGTAGTTATTCATGAACGCTCTCCAGAGAAGTGCCCTCAAGCCATATTTTTGTCATGTCCAAATTCTAGTAATCTTTACTTTTGTGCTTTTACTATATGAGAAATGCACCTCCCATCATTCCAGTCCATGTTCAATTCATACTTCCTCTTTTAAGCCTTTCCTGATTACTCCATCCTACATCAAACATTTCCTTCTCCAAATTTGTTGTACTAACATAAGCTTTACTATGTCAGCAATTATATATTGCCTTGGGTTATCACTTCTCAACCACACTGAATTTGGACAAATGGTATATTATAAGTACTCAATAACTAGTAGCTTTGGGCCAAGGACTAGGAGCTTTATGAGTGCTTTTTAATCTTGTTAACAAGCCTGTATGGTATCCTGAATAGACACAGAATTTCAAGATTCAGAAAACCCAACTTGCTCAGGGTCACAGAGCTACAATAACAAATATTGCCTAAAATTTCTGTAATAGGACTTAAGATGTACTTTGGTATGCCCTGCAGTGATTCAAGTTCCAGCTCTCCTGAGCAACCTTGGGCAAGTTACCCAACCTCTTAAAGCCTGTTTACTTGTCTGATAAAAAAAAAGTAATATATTGTCATAGAGCCATAGTAAGAGTACCACAAAATAGGGTATCGTGACATTTAGCTAAGTGTGCTCAATACGGGTTAGCTGCCAGGCATGGTTAGGGTTTTTACCTATATCTGATCACAAAACCTATGTTTTCCACTATTCCATAATGCTGCCATGCGGTCTTCTCTATCCCATTCCCATTTGCAGACAAAAGCAGGTTGTTGAGCACAACAGTGGGTGCCCAGGGAGTTAGTGAAATGTACTTATGTCATGAGTATTTTTGTTGACACACACACACAAAATAAAATCTTCATAAATTTCATGCATTTTTGATTAACAACAACAACAAAACACATCTGAGTGATCTAAGCCAGCATAAGCATACTCTCACAAGGGTAAAGCACGTATCAGTAAGAGGGGAATAAGGAACCAAACTTCCTCAAGCATCGTCTGTCTGGCATCATGCTAGGGGGCTCTGGGAATGCTTCCTGGCATTTTACGACTGTATTATTTCCTCAGCATGAATGCGCACTGCAAATACACAACCGAAAGAACTGTGACAATCTCATGAAGCATGGTTCTGGGCATGGACCCAGGACATAACAATGGATGATGCCTTTAAAGGATGAACACTGAGCTCAGAGTCACATGCGGAACAAGAAAGTTTCACTTCTCTTTACTAGTCAAGCAACGGGTCAAGCAATACGGGTTAGGAATAGTGAAGGAATAATCACTTTTAATTTAAATTGTGTTATATAAAATGCTAACTTCTTGTTGGGACATACTACAGACTATGCATTAGATAAAATTTTCTGACAAACTTCCTATAACACTTTTATTAATTTACACTGAGAGAATATAGCACCTTTCATCCAAAGAACTGAAGGTGCTTTACAAACATTAGCAGTTAAAAAACAATGACATTTAAAAATCTGGATTCTTGCTATTAAATCTCTTCAACTCCAGGTACACAATTTTCTGGAGGCTCATGTAAAGTAATTCTATTTCTCACAATGAAAGAGGCTCAGAAAGTTGAGATTTGCTTTCACAATACAGGCATTTTCCAAAACCTGGTGCTGGGCTTACAAAGCAAAAACACACAAATCTTAATGCAAGGAACAATATTTCAAACCTTATTCAAAAGCAAAACCCAGGATTTAAGACGTCAAAATCTTCCAACAGTTCTAGACATCCAGATGGAGTAGGAGCTGATGCAGGTCTCATGTTAGGTATGCTCTTGATCCAGGCTTTTTAGGATCACACCCAAAGTAACACATTTCAAATGGTGAGATATTTCAGGAAAAAGCACTAATCTATAAAAAGCTCGCCAAGAATATATTAGGCAAGTAAGGAAAGGGAGTGATTGGCAATTAAAGTAGACAGTTCTCACTAGAGCCTAGGATACTTTATTAGAAACCAAGTATATCATAGGCAAATAAAAATAGTTATTACCCCCATTAATACAACATAAGGGATTTTACATTCAGCCTAGATACAGGGAGTAACAGATCCTTCTGTCTACACACCTATGACTTGCAAGTGTCGTCCACCACCTGATTACTCTATATAGTACATAGCCCTTATTTCGTAGAGGAACCCAAATATTCCTGTTAGGCTTACAAAGTCCAATACATTCACTCTCTCTTCCCTTTACATGTCTAATAGTAAAAACTATTTTTTTCCATGCAAAAAGCCATTACTCAGTTGGAGAGAAAAAAAAATCAGGCAGAACAGAGATGGCAGTTAAGGAAACAGACAGAACATTATTGGCACTTGCCCAACTAGTGACAAACAAATGCAGTACACCATGACTTAAAAATCAAAGTCACATTACAGGGATAACTACAACAACTATAACAATCTACGCTAGGGAGTGTCGAATGGGAAGGGAGGGCTCGGGGTTACTGGTTTTATTGGTACAACTTAAAAGCAGAGGTGAGGAAGCACTTAAATACAATTTATGGTAACAGAAAAAAAATACTGCAGAGAGCTGTTTAAACACCACACCAAGTTGTCTGCATCATTAATTTCCAGTGTTTAACAATTAGTAAAATACATAGCTACATATCCCTGTAAGATTAATACCTTTCCCCCTGAATTACACTGGGGTCAGGGCAATGACACAAAGCTACTGACCCAACAGTTCAAGTGTGTGCAGCAAATGTCTTAGCCACTTCTTTCATATAGCTATACAATTAAAAATTATACAAGTAGCTGGGTGGTTGGGAAAAAAATTGCAAGTGTTGTGCTCATTTAATAAAAGAAAACCCTGATGAAAAATTATGTTCCAAGAAGCGTAGGCTATAAAGATTTTTATTGCATTTTTAGATAACCTGGAAGTTCTTATCCTGAAGGGGAAAAGTTGGTTTTCAAAACTACCTGAACAGATGCTAAAGTGCTTTATTAATTGGCT